TTCATGTTAAATGGTCTCACAGCAGTGTTTAGGTCAGAGACCACACAGTTTCATGTTTTCTTGTTTTAATAACACATTTATTGTCTCAAAGAAAGCTGAACTTTCTCACTCATCTGTGGGAGGAGCAGAGGAGAGGTCATCTTCAGGTAGCCAGCAGATCCTGTCACAATCAGAGGCTCTCAGGAAAACACCAGGCTTTTCTGCCCTCCCTTTATTTCAAGCATTTCTCTTGTGATGTTATTCTAATGAGCAGGACTAATATCTGCGTGGTTATGAAGACGGGAATGTTTGACACCTGGAGTTGTAGAGAAAACACTACATGAACAAATGTATGAGCAGGTACACCTTGCTGTGTGTGCACTATGCTAACCATGGAGGAAAGCAGACTCGATTGTGCACAGGTGTGTGCATGTGTGTATGTGTGTGTGGGTGTATTCATGTGCAGAGTGTTTTACTCCTCTACTACCCCTTCCAGGCTATTGGGGTCATTAAGCTGTGAGTAGTTAATTAAATCTAGCAGAGGTGATTATGGCTGAGTGTTTCCAGTGTGTTAGTACATGAAACGATTAACATGGATCCGTGTTAAACTTCAGCTGTACTAAATTTGTCCATTTTTCCTTCTATTCCAATCACCACATTTTATTGCCTGTTTATTGGTAAAACATGTATCAGTAATGCAGTTCATAAGAAAGCAACATAAATTCAATAAATTGAACATTGATTTAGGATAACTGGTTTATGTCAGTTACTTTTGTCAACCATGAATAGAGTTCAGCATTTCATAAATACATGATGACAATTTAGGAATCAAAAAGATGTTCAGAATTGTGCTTTTATTTATTTTTTTTCCATGACTGATTAAATTGATCCCTCCTTTCAAATATTGCAGATTGCAAAAACCAAATCTTCCTACTTTGAAGCAGTACGTTAAGAAATTTGAATGAGTTAAATTTGAATTCATTTTAATTTCAACTTCTTTCTTTTCATAAAATAATCTAAGTTAATGGTGAAAAAGGTCCTTATTATTCCAGGAGTCAATGCGATGTGTTCAACAGAACAAACTATACTGTACTGACAAAATCATTACATCAATATTAATAACAGGTATCGAACATCAAGGATTGCAACAACCCTAATGAATATAGATAAATGCTGTGTGCTTATTCAGAAAGATGTTGATTGTATCTACAGCAAAAATAAGTTCTTAAAAATAGCCAGCATGCATTTCTTGTGAAAGGCGCTACTAAAGTAGGATCTCAACAGCTCAGCCTCTCTTCTATGCCTGGAAACTCTTTTCTCTTCCCATCTGGACCGCTATGCTTAAAAAGTGTGGCCCTCCATTGGCCATGGCCGTGCTAGCAGGTCGTTTCCTTGCTAATGAGGTGAGTCAGGGGAGTAAATGAGGAGGGAGTGAGAGCTGGGGTAATACGTCAAGAAGAGACACAGGCAAATAGGATGAGAGAATGAAGACGAGAGAGAGAATGAGGGAGAGGAGATGCGGCCTTGCAGCCCTCAGCAGAGGTACTCAATGATTCATGGACTTAGTGCATTGATATCAGTGGATCTGCGATAGTGAGACACACACAAACACAGTTAGGTTCAAATATGAAAGCTAAAAGCCCCGCTGTCCTCTGTTTGTGTTTAAATAGAGCGAGCTAAAGAGAAGGTGTTATGTTTGGCTTCTTGTTGTTTTGAAAGGCAAAGCTTGTTTGTGAAGAAGTGGGGTAAAAGCAAAGGTTTGAGCTGCGTCTCTGTCCCAGCGGGCAGCCTAAAGAGATGCTTGGGGATTGTGTCCTCCAGCATAAACATCTGCTTTCTCTTTTTTGGGAAGCCCACAGCAGCAGCTTGGTACATTACCATAATCCTTAGCATGCTCCACACTTCTCCTCCTCTGAGTTAACACACATCCCTGCACCAGTGTAATCCCTTACCTGATAAAAACATCATAATGCTTGAGCCCGGTTATTATCCATGAATTACATTCAGTTATTTTCTGCTTTTCACATCAAACATGGAAGTACAGCTGATTTCCTGTCAAAGATAATCTGGGCACATACCCTAGAGTTTGTAAACACATTTCCTGAAAACTATGAAAAAAATTAAAAAACCCTTTTACTGAAAAAAAAAAAAAAAAAAAAAATCTGATGTCCACAAGAGAATCACATCATGATTGACTATGCAAAACCAAAATTATGCTGCAGATATTTTAACTGAATAGTTTTATTGTTAGCTGACAAAATGGCTGACAAAAATGTGAGTGGTTGTTTTTACTCCTTTTACACTGTCCGATAGGAGGCCAGAAATACTGGAACTTCCTTTTGGAACATCATCATGAAGAAGAAAAATCTTAACACCACTGAGCCAAAATGACCACTAGCTTTTCTTCGTTTGACACCTGTTACCAATTATTTAGCTCCATCCATACTCTCTTCCATCCCAATCACAGATAGAAGATTGTGATGGAATCTTCTATCCCAGTTTGTATTGTATGTCTTCTATCACTTGATACAAGACAGAGTATGACCGTGGGACAACTAGTGTGTAATAGTAGATATTACACACACAGCTCTGGCCTATCAGCTCTGAGGCTGATTCTTGCACTACATCCAATTAAAATCCTGCCATAAGAATGACTAAGGTGAACAGGAAATGGGTTTCATAAACCATGAGTGTAAAGCATGTTTATTTCTGCACTGTGAATGTGTTACCTGACCTCATGTGGTGTATTGATATACAAGTCAAGTAAGATGTTCTTCTCAGAGACTTCAGACCCAACCCACCAACAGTTCCAAACATGCCACATTTGCTCACTCTATTTCTAATAGTTCCCACATGAGACTTAATATGTAACATGTTAACTGAGATGGAACTCTGATTTGTTTTTCTTTTCTGGGAGTTAATTTGGGGAATGACACAATCTGACCACAGTATGATCTTACTGTGATGTCCTTTTCTCAAAATGGTAAAAACCACCTGTGAAAAATCTCTGTGAAGAAAAATTAATTTATTTGGAATTGCTTTTAAGGACTAACGGGCAGCAGCAGATGTTTCTCGATGTCATTAAGTTATCTCAGATTCAGCTGCTCCAAAAAAGCTTTGTTTTTATTGAAGTTACTGAGTCCATTTTGTTCTTTGTGGTTTAAATTATTTTTGTAAATATATTTTGCTTAAGTTCTGTTAATCAAATAATACTTCAATAATTTTACAGGCAAGATGATTATTATTTTATTCTAAATGAAAAGGGCATTCAAACCTTTTGTCTGGCTGTGTGTACATTTGCTAACCCTGTCCTGTCGCCAACACTCGTCTGTCTTCTAACATTTCCGAGTCCATTCATGGAAACATTTTATCATGGTTCATTCATGATTTGTTCAGATTAATTACTTTATGCAACTCATGCCTTTTTTTTCTTCTGCTGTTACTTCATTCCTTCCTTTACTCTGGAACTAAGGAGCATCAGTTACACTGCTGAGCTCATTCCAGTTTAATTTAGATGTCCATGTTAAGATGGACATAAATATTCCATTTCTGTAGCTGAGCCCAGTCTAAATGTTTTAATATTCGCTGTGTAAATGATTGAAAGTGTGTTCTCGGGCCACTTCGGATCATTTGAAAGAACTGTTTAGTCCTGGATCCTTACACAGAGATAAAAATGTAATTAAGAGCTGCAGCAGAACCATCATGGTCCTTTGCCTGGACATGACTCTGCACCTGTGACCTCCACATTACCATCCACAGCTGCTCTAACTGGAGGGAAATATTATTTTACCAGCCCAACTTGCATTTTTCCCTAAGTTTCTTGAGCCCCTACACACACCCCTTCATGCACACACGCAGACACACACCCACATACAGGAACACACACACACACACACACACACACACACACACACACACACACACACACACACACACACACACACACACATCGGATATTATTCTAAAAAATCCTCATCTGATGTTCCATTAGACACAGATGCCACTGCAGCAGCTCCAGCGATAAAGTTGGCGTTTCAAGTGACTGAGCTCAGCAATTTATTAAAAGCTGGTTGAACGCCGGCAGTGACAGACGCTGTCGCCTGCCGTTGTACACATACGTGCGCTGTGTGTTGTGGCTGAAGATGGATCGGAGTACAGATTGTAAGTGACATGTTAATTTCTTCTCCGTCACTCACGGCCGAGGCATGAGCTCCTGCAGTAAAGGAACGGCACGCTGAGCCATCAAGGATTTCTTCCTCCTCTGTTCTTTCCTCACTTATCCCTTTTTCTCTCCTCTTCTTCCTGTCATGGTCCATTCCATCACTGTTCAGGATCAAAGAAATGTTTCATTTATCTTTTTGCCACATGGCTGCAAACTACTTAATGTTCTAAAGCATGCTCTTCAAATGACCACATGCATGTTTTTAAAGTCAAGGTCAGACCACATGCCTGGCCACTGAGAGGACACGTCCCTCATGTCAGAACTGTTTTGTAAGACGCTGGTCAGTGTTACCAGTCAGCCTTGATGAAATCTGAAAATCACCAAGTGACTGAGGGGAGTTCAGCTCACAGACACATACACAGAGGCCTGCTGCTTTTCACCAGCTGTCTCCCATTTCACTAATGCACTTCTTTCATGTGAGCTGTTTTTTTTCTGAGTGCTTTCCTCTTTATTGTATTTCAGTTTAAGGTCTTAAAACTGTACATTAAACTCAGCTCAGATCCTGATTTTCATGTTGTGTTTGTGCTTCAGATGGATGTATGATAGTTGGAGATATTTCATGTGTTGTAGTCAAATTAGTTTTGTGTCGATATGCTGTGTTTAGTTTTGGATTCTTGATATTTTTGTGTTTGCTCTGAACCATATGTTTTAATGATGATATTATGGGTCATAAATATAAATGTCAACGTCCTGCAGCCTTTGACTGAGACCAGTCTGTTACAGTCTCTATATGAAACTGAATTATTTCCACTCACTCTGTGTGTGCGCGCGCGCGTGTGTGTGTGTGTGTATGTGTGTGTGTGTGTGTGCGTGTGTATGTGTGTGTGCAGGCAACCATGGTACTATGGCTGGGGCTTCAACTTGCCGCGGGGTCAGGCTCTTCTCGACAAATGGAACCAGATTCCAGACAACACAGACATCCTGGTCACACATTGCCCCCCACTGGGTGAGATATGCATTACAGTGTGGCCCCTCACCCCCTCCCTCAAGGGA